AGGTTGTAAAAGCTTCTACTGGTAAGACAAATAAGCAAAAAAGGTACAAGCGAGGACCAAAGGATAATGAAGATCACGGAACCGAATACCCATGCTTGGTTTGTTCAGAGTTATACTCATACCCGCCTATAGAGGACTGGATCAAATGCGATGATTGTCAAATGTGGGCCCACGAGGCGTGCACAACTTATTCTGGTAGAGGTTCCTATTATTGTGATGGCTGTCAGGAATAACTTTAATTTTATAGTTAATAATTGAGACGATAGGTACAAGTTGATTTATGATGAATGATGATCGAAGAAAGTGCAATAAGTTTAATAATGAAGACTGCAATGAAAAAGAAGAATCCATTGATCTCGATAATTACCTTATACCCGTTTTGCCCAAACGCCGTACCCGTTTTAGGCACCACATGGGGAAAAACGGGTAGTTTGAAGGTTTTTTTTGTTTTTCGTTTATGTTCGAATTCTGAAGAATTTATTTTATGTTTATTCTAATTTTAGATTCTTTATTAGTTACATTTGAAAAGTAAAAATAGAAGTTTAATTTTCTTTTCTACCAATTTTTTATTGTAAATATCCCTTAGCGTACCCGTTTTGGGCCCACCTCCCCTACAGGTAACCAACTATCAAATTTCAACTCTACATTCTTGAAATAAAGTAGAAAACTTATTGCTCGAAATACGTGTATTAACAAAAACCTTTTAAACAATAATTACAACGCACGTTTCTTTGTTATCAGAGTCTTTGTATAGAATAGTGGTTATAGTGTTTTCCATGTGAATAAATGCCATGGGCTGTTATGTCGCGTTATGTAATACATAAGACTTCCCCATTTCTTGTTCTTTGTTAAACTTTATTACATAGCTTGCCTATGTACCTAATTCTAGATGTGTGCAAATAAATTATTCAGACATATAATTATAAATATTGTGTTTTTTTTTTAATTAACAGCCCCGAACTTCTTCCCTAAGTTAGTATAAATGTTCCAGCAATAGTGACACGACATTATAAACCGATCCATCTACCATTAGCATCATCAAACTATAGACGGAATAGTTTTTTGTGGCGAGCAGGAGAGTCACTAAACATATCATGCAAGTAACATGACATTGACATATTTAATGATAACCATGCATCAGTGAGAAGGATGCTGAGCCATGATTTCTTTAAAAACATCTTATTTGATTGTATTGGTTGATTGAACTTTGTCGTTGTGTATTACGGTGTAATTTAATACTTTGTGTCTGCACACGTTCTAATTGTAATATTTACAATAGCTTAAAAGTGGGGACCTGTAATTGGCTGCATGTTACATATTTTTGTTTTATAATTAATAAATGTTAATGCTGTTGGCCCTCCAAATAATAAATTTAATAGTTGTCATAAGAACGTATACCTACTTTTCAAATTAAGTAAGTGGAATCTGAACTGTTTTCGTGGGGCAGTCGGATAAGGAGGCAGGAGGAGCTATTATTTTTCTATTAAAGTCTCAGTTAATAATTATGATCGAAATAAAGCAAGTAACAACGACCGACAGTATCGGGTCAAAACAAAATTAATTACTGTGATGTCTTAAAAAAACATGAAACAATGCGGACGTACGAAACAGGATTTTCGATAAAATCTGGATCAATTATTGCCAAACTAGTTTAGATTGTTTATAAAATATTCGTACCCACAAATTATTTGTTACTCACAAACAGTGAAGGAAAACATCGTGAATTAATTATTTAAAAATTATAAGTTTGAAATCGACTATCCGCGATTAACGTAGGCTAAAATCTTCACCGCATAGATAAGCAAAGGCCTTGCACACTAAGGGGCATTTCTAGATTAATAATAATGATGATAATACAACCCCCCTCCCCTCTCCCTCCAACCTAACCCCAGATCCCCAATCATCTTTCTAACCCTCTGATGGCTAACAATGTAAGTATTAACAACTCCTCTATCGTTGCGAGTGTCCATTGGTAGCGCCGATTGCTTACCATCAAGTGATCAGTCTGCTCGTTTGCCGTCCTAGACCCTCTCCCATAAAAATCGGTCACCTTTATGAAAACTTCATTAAAAACATATATTAATAGACTAGAAGTATCGATATATATGTAGTTGAGGACTAACTCAATCGTAATTTGTACAATATAGTCATTCATATACGGTGTATTATTTAAGGTAATTTACAAAGTTTACGAGCGACCTCTTCTCACAAATACCCAAGTAGACATTACATTACTCTTTTGAAATCCCACTTCGTGAGGAAATCACAAATAGCTGGATGCACAAGTACTTTCAAGGTGTAAGTAGTAGACTATACTAGACGTAATTGCCAGTTGTTTTGCTCACTAGAGCTGCCAATGTCATATACATCATCATCATCATCATCAGCCAATATGAAGTGCCCACTGTTAAGTAAACGAATCTTCTAACACGGAGAACGAATGAGCATTAATCACCAAGCTTCCTGAAGGCGGAGTGGCGAAATCAAGCTTATGCATAATATCAATATTATTAGTCCAGGTCACGATGTTTTCCTGCGCCTTACGTCAATATGAAATAGTCTTAGGAAGTATCGCGCCTTAACATCTTGGCCACAACAACTTGTAACATATATTAGAGGCCACAAGACCTTTACTGTTGTACGCAGAGCTTCCCTTATACCTTCAAGGTTAGCTGAGGTTGCTGATCAAGCACAATAAGGTACCGCGGCTCTGGTGATGTTCAGTAGAAGAAAAGGTGTGGTTCTTAGTATTTTGGTAAAAGTCTGATACTTCCTCTAGCCCCTGGATGAGAGAAGACATTTGACGATTTTACCCCCACATAATAAAACTCCCAAGTCAAACTGTTGGAAGCGTCATGCATCCAGCACTTTCCTACGACAATTAAGTGTGGGAGAGCCATTCTTCGGCACGAAGGGGTCGGCTCGACCGAAGTGATACCACGGCCTCTCAGAAAACCAGCGTGAAACAACCACAGCGTTGTGTTTCGCCGTGTGAGTTGGGTTACCGTAGGCGCAATCCTTCCCCTCTCCCAATGTCTCCTCAATCCCTAAAACTCCAAATCCCTAATACTTAAAAGGTCGGTAACGCACTCGTAAATCCTCCGTTGCATTGGATGTCCATGGGCGGCGCTGATTGCTTACCATGAGGTAAGCCGTCTGATCGTTTGCCGAAATATTACATAAAAAAAATATCAGATTGTCTATTTACCTTGACATACCACAACTAATCATAAATGCCGACGACTATACATAGACGTTACATAGCCGAATCTCTTAGTCTATACTGTATTCCTGGGGTTAAATGAACAGGTACTGCTACTAACTGTGACCTCTTTTGTGCCTTACCATATCAACACACCTTGAAACGATTCTCAACCATCAAGTCGGAATATCGTCCGAATGAAATAATTGGCAAAAGTTTTAAAAATTAAACTTTTTAAGGAGCATAGACCCTTTCCTAGACTTTTCTATATTAAAAAAAAATGAAATAAATAACCGCTTTTATATTTTCTTAAATGTTATTCGAAAATAGAATATTAAAAGCCATAGTTTCGGCCATAAAGATTCGAAAATGGAATTCGATTAATTCATTCTTATTCACACATGGAATGTCTACTTAATTTACCTATAATGTATATTGAATTTGATAATAAAACTAGGCTCTGCTACAGTTAGGTAACTGTTCAATAGTCACTTCCGTCTACATAATACCTAATTATGATAATGTATTCTGTCTATTATGCCGATACGTTGCCAACCTCACGCATCATTTTCTGTTGTCCATCACTTGACTTGATTTTTTTATATTCTTCCGTATAAGGCATAGAACATGTTAAGCAGACCCAGAGGAAAATTACATAGCATTCATTACTCAAGTGAAAGGCGCTTCTAGTTTTAAATCACAACGGGAGTCTTATTCATGATACGACTTCGCCACCGCACAGTTAACTGGATAAGAGCCCCGTCATGAGGTTACCGGAATCCCAATCCCTCCCCCTCACCCAACCCTTCCCAATCGTTAATTATCCTAAACCTTTATCTCTAAAAGTTCCGCAACGCACTCGACAACAACTCCTTCGATGTTGTGGGTGTCCTTGGGCGGCGCTGATTGCCAACCATCAGCTTGTTTGCTCGTTTGCCGACCTATACCATAAACAAATGTATTAAAGCTAGTAAAGGTATTTCTCAGTTTTACATCTCCTGAGTTAGTCATTAATTGCAATATAGACGGTATGTTTTACGAAAATGATATTATAAGTAAAATGGTGTAGATAGGTTACTTTAACAACAATTGATTTTCACAAACGACACACTGATACACACATGAACAATTCGTATGATTAGACGTCAAAGTGGGATGGCATGATTCAATTATCGCGAGTGAAAAAGAGACAAATATAAAAAATTGTGGTGAGCCACATTTTAATGTATCACTTGCTGAGCGCTTATGACCTATCTACACCTCCACCATTTTATAACACAAAAATACTTAATAGTTACGACCCGCTACTTTCAACGCGTCATGAAATACAAAATACTAAAGGCTGCTACTAATGAAATAGAAAGGCCAAGAAATATAAAACCCACAAGACTCCCTCAGCAGTGTTGCGGCCCTTGCAATGAGGCACCGTGACCTCGGCCCAGAGCAGGAGAAGGAACAGAGGGATTTTAGTCAATAAGAGACTGACACTCCCTCCCGCCGTACCCTGTGCGGGAGAAGTCATTTGATGATTTTTCCCTCACAAAAAAAAGCGTTGCAGCCCTATAGTTTGCAGTAGCATTTATTGTCTTGGCTTGACGCCTAAAACCTACCATAAAATCAACGAGTAGCCCTAAGAAAAAAGAAAAAAATCAGAAACGAAACTCTCCCCGTCTACTGTATACTCATGGTTCGGACAATCAAAATTTCGTGTTGTTTACTGGAAAGGAAACGTAAAAAAGGAACTTAGCGATTAATACAATAAAAATGAAGAACATTGTTAGAAAAATATTTTATTGTTTGTTACCTTATAAAACTTATTATGTATGTAGGTACGTGAACGACCGTTCTTGAAACTTGAAAACCTTTTTACTAAACATTATTAATAAACGTATAGGCACTAGCTTAACAAAATTGCATTATTTTCAATAATTTAACCGGCGTTGCAAGCGAAAACCGCCTCTATTGGTAGACAGGTAAGATACGTTTTATGTATTAAATTAGTAAAAGTTATTAGTTTCAATCTTGCAGCCGCAAACAACGGGTCCAGTAACGGTCCATTGCTCGATATCTGTGCGGGTTAACTCCAGCCAAACTGTGAGCTTCATCAGGATATGACTGTAAAGAACATCAGACAATTATCTATTCTTGATATCATAAACAGGTAAAAATTTTTATTTGTATGTTTGTATGTAGGGGGTAAGTGTGGGAGAGCCAAGCTTCGGCACGACCGGAGTGATACCACGGCCTCACAGAATACCGGCGTGACCCACAGCGTTGTGTTTCGCCGTGTGAGTGAGGTTACCGGAGGCCCAATCCCTTCCCCTCCCCTATCCCTTCCCGATCCTTATATCCCCAACCCCTATCCCCAAAAGGCCGGCGACGCACTCGTAAATCCTTTGGTGTTGCGGGACATGATGTCCGCGCCGATTGCTTACCATCAGGTAATCCGTCAGCTCGTTTCCCTACGTATACATAAAAAAAGTGAAAGCAATTGCTCTATTGCTTATCAATTAATTTTAAGCCTTTTCAAATTCCTACAGTAATATCCTTACATAGTCTAGGGTCTGAAGATAACCCTAAACTTTATTTGATTACAGGACCAATGAACTGAATGAAATAGATGAAATGATAATCTGATCCAAATTTATTTTAGAATGCTAAAGTACTACATATCGCTAAAATATTAGCAACGTTAACTACACCCTGTATTTTGGGCATTATGATGTTATATTGTGACCAATTGTGTCTTATATGTAATTAAAAAATACTACAAAAATCAAGGAAAATCTCTAAAAATCTTACCATCTGCTCAAACGGAATATCAAGGTCCTGAAGAGCCTTGATCAGCTTAGCAGCATTCTGGTAGTGGACGTTGTCGTCCGCGTTTCCGTGCATGATGAAGAAGTCATGTCCTCGGAGCTTCTCCGCCATTAATGTGACGTCACCAGCTTGGTAGCCCTTAAGATTGTCATCTTCCCTGGGCCTGCCCATGTAACGTTCTGTGTACATTGTATCTGAGAAATAAAAAATGGTATGTTTTAGTAAACGCTTCATTAGCGGCCCTTTTTAACCGACTTCAAAAAAAGGAGGAGGTTCTCAATTCGATTGTATTTTTTTTTTTTTTTTTTTTTTTTTATGTTTGTTACCTCAGAACTCCGTCGTTTATGGACGGATTTGCAAAATTTTTTTTATGATTGAAAGGATATGCTTCCAGATTGGTCCCATTCTTTTCAAAATCAAGTTTTGATGATGGGTTCCATGAGAAATCGAGGGAACTCCTCAAATATTATAGGCAACTATATAGTAATTTTAATATTTTCATAGAGCACTCAAGCATTTACAGTCAAAAAGTAATGTTTGATGAGGTGGAACTGGTGAAGAAGATCAGAAATGGATGATGAAACTTGACACTCGCATAGATATCACAATCAAGGTAGTTCAGCAACTATGAAAATGCACTGTAAACCAATGATCTTAAATAATTATGTTGGAAATGTTATCATCGAACTGATTTAATGATGATTATGGAGCTGGAAGGTAGGCACTGGAACTGCGTACCTAATTAATATATCCTAGCCGTGTTTGGGCTTGTTAGAATTGTTATAAGATGCACTTTGGCTGTAAGGTACTATTGAACTGATGTGATGATGAAGCTGGAAGGTTGGCATGGGGCCTAGTATTGTGTAAGCTTATTAGAGCTGTCAAGAGCAATGGAAAGGGCTATGCTCATAGTTTCCGTGCATGTTCGAATCAGAAATGAAGAAATCCGCAGAAGAACCAGCGTCACCGACATAGCCCGAAGAAATGCCAAACTTAAGTGACAGTGGGCACGGCACATTGCTCGTAGAACAGATGGCCGATGGGGCCGAAAGGTTCTAGAGCGGGACCGCACACCTTTGGGGGCGGAGTTTGGCCTAGTATTGGCTATTTTGCATTAGTCCACGTGGACTGCGTTTACACATTAGTGGTGAAATGCGTCATTGTGTTCTTATCGTTTTCCTGGTAATAGGCTAAGAGAATTAATTGGCATTTTTAACAAAACAGTCGTTTTAAATGGGTTACAAAACAATAATTGCGTCGTACAAAACAATAATTGTGTTTCTTTTGTGTGCACATATGTAGATAATACTTACTTAAAAAAGGTTCATACATTGAATGAGTCATAAATGTATATTTACAATAGCGATGGTCTTTTATATTTTTACCAACTTGTCTATATATGAATGTTCTTAGTAATAACAAAATAGTATTCTTCATTTAATGGGTTACAATTGATACAAAACAATAATTGCATCGGTCTTTTTTCTATGTACGAATGTATTTAATCATAGATACTAAATTAGATTGCATTTGGTATCTTTGAACTTTATCTGTCTGTTGATGAAAATATCTAGTTTTTTGTTATTTGGCGAGAACTAATATGAATTTATGATAAGATTATTATTTTATTTTAACTATAAGTCATAAGTATCTCATGCATCATATCATCTCTCCTCGAGATCAAAACGATTACACAGTAACAATGTACTATGATATGTATTTCTACGTATAAGTATGACATTGGTAACTTTTTCAAAAGAAATGTAGGAACGATATTGACTTCTTTGCCATAACACATTATAATAAAAAAAAAACACTAAACGGCTACAAATAAAAAAAATTTTACAAAATAAAAAAACCGCCTTCAAAAAAAGTCAAGCAATAAAAGTTCCTACACTAAAAAGTAAAAAATAACAATTTGAATTACTGTAAAAAAACTTAATTTATAGGTAAACTTATTTGACATTAATATTTTGCAAATATTCAAAATTTATTACTTATTTTTGGAGTCTAGAATCTTTCTTCTCTAGGAATCTTTGAGGACTAGAATAGTCAAATTAAATATTCGCTGAACGTACTTAATTATCCTACTAGATAATATTATAAAGACAAATATTCTGTTGGTTTAATAGATTTTCGTTACTTGCTCATATAAAAGGTACGAAACGGATCTGGATGAAATTTGACACAAAGATAGATTATAGTCTTGAATGTACATAGGCTAGGTTACCTAGGTACTGTGACAGAAGCATGTAGTCATAAATTTCTCGACCAATTCAGTCACGGTAGGTCCCAAAGTAAACTAGCCCACTATCCAAAATATATTATACTTCAAAGTGTGACTGCAAACAGAGGTTATTGTGAACTATCTTTATCTGAAGATCTGAAGGAACTGCTGTCTGACGCTACCAGAGTGTCAGCCACAGTTTACCATGTACCTATTGTGTTATACGGACATGTATCTCATAAGTTTCAATAATTTGACCAATTTCAAACTGCCCCCCCCCCCCAGCCTTTTTTGTATAGTAATGGGCAAGCGTTTCGCCGTTATCACGCCTGGTGGTAAGAAATTGTGCGACCTACGATGCAGCACGCCTGCCCAAAAGCAACCAAATTACTCGGGGCTTTAACCCACCCAGTATAGCAACACAGACTCCGGCGAAAATTTCAACTCGGTAGGTATCTAAAACCTAAAACAGAAACACGTAACTCACAATAAAAAACAATCAACGATAACAATTCTTTGAATAAATAATTAGGAGAAATTTTAAGGTAGCTATCAAAAGACAATTTAATTTCTCATCTGCTCAAATCGAATTGAAAACAGAACTATTATATAAAATAATCAAGTTTTATCTACAATAATCTATATAACAAGGGAATCGCTTTCAAACGTGTATGCTAATTTCAAGCGGAAGTGTTTAAATGTCAGGACATATATATAAATCATAAAACATACCTAGGTCTAGAATGTTTAGTATTTTTTTTCAATTTGATTTAAAGAATGTATTTCTATCTACACTCAATAACCAATTAGCTAACATCTGTATTTCGATTTATTTTTAAAACGTATTCTTCAACAAATTTAAATAAAGAACTTGTTTGTAAACCGAACTCTCCAACGCCAATTTTTTCATCTTTTAAAAGTCCAGTAAATAGGTGACTATAATAGGAACTTTGCCGTTAAACGAAAACGCAATATAAGGCCATATTATTAGGAACGAACCATTACACTGGGCACAGTAATAAACGCACTACGCCACCCAAAATCGCTTTACTTGTTACACTCAAGTGTACCAATATAATTTTATATTTACTTACTATAATAGAGCCAGGAGGTAACAGGAGCTCCAGAAACACCGCACTGGAAGAGTTTCTCATCATCCTTCAGCATCGTGAGGAGGGTCGCGTAACCACCATAGCTGTGCCCCCAGATACCCACTCTAGTGCGATCTATGAACGGGAACCGCTCCAAAACTTGCCTGTTATTATTAACACATATTTTTAAAATAATATAAACATAAAACTCATAGGTAGTACATAAAAATACAAAGATTTGAAGAATTCAAAGTCAAAACCTTTAAGTGTATCAAATAAATAAAATAAAAATGTAAAATGGACAGCGTAAACACTAAATGACAAATTTATCATGTAAGCCAAAATCTACAGTGGCGCCACTCAAGCGACTCGTTAGTGAGATTAATAAATGGAGATAGGAGTTAGTTTATGGAGAACCAAAAACGCAACCAATCTCATATTAGTTGCGTTTTTGGTTCTCCTATGAGAAATGGAATGGAAATGAAATGAAATATTCATGAGTCGAAAAAGAGTTTAAATCTAGGTACAGAAAGAAGAATTTTGAAATTTCAACACAAACTTGAAATGGCCAATAATTGCACGCCTATACGAAAAATTCGAAAATGTTTTTTATTTAAATTTGAGGATTTGATATGTTGCATATTTGCAACAAGTTTCATTAAAATCGGAATTAAAGTATGGAAACTAATAAAAAATAATAAAAAGAAATGTGGATAATACTTCTTTTCCTTCCCACATGACATTCTTGTATAAAAATAGAAGTTTACATAAAAAACTAGTTTCAATACAATAGATATCTATTAGAAAGTTTCCTGCTTACACTAACGTCATAATATTTTAAAAAAAGTACTAAATTAATTCTGTATTACATAAAAAGCTGACGATATCTTAAGAAACATTAATTTTGATTGAGTCTAGATAATTATAAATTATTAATATACTCAAGTGGGTCACTGGAGGATGTTAGGTACACCGTTACATAAACTAGATTTTTGATGCAAATTTTATTATTTGTTATACAATAATTTAAGTGCCTATTTAAAGATAAAAAAATATTTTTTAGCTAATTATTAAGAAATTAGTAAGCTATTTGACGCAAAAATATTATGACGTCATAACTCAGTTTTGCATAGAAAAGTATCGTTTTTGACATTTGGAATTTTTTTTAATATGACTAGTTGGAAACTACTGTATTGTAGACTCCGTTCCAATAAAAATAATCTTAATACTCCCAAAAAGCGTTGTATGTGACTAGCCTATTTGTTGTTTATTGCCTTTCATCTATGTCAGATCACAATGATGTTTTTGTTTGTTTAGTTACCTCTTCGAATTTTATCCACTCAACTAAACTCTTGAAATTATGCATAGGTTCATATATACCTAAGGTTACGGGGTTGGACATTTTTTTTGTGAACTAGGTACAAATGTTTAATTTTTAAGGGAGAAAAATAATGTAATGAGTTCTCCTACAAAATCTCATACTATTCCGCCGCTATGTGACGGAGTGTCAAAGTCTTTTGACTTAAAACCTTTCGTCTTTTCGTTTTCTACTTCGAGCCGGGGCCATGGTATGTCATTTTACTTGTACCCGCAACCTATGCTGTTTTTAACTAACCTGAGGATAACGAAGTGGTCCTCCACCTCGACAGTTCCGAGCGCATTGTTGAGTGAGAACAGAATGTCCTGGCCCTTAAGACCTGAACCTCGCCCATCAGCCAACATGTAGATGACGTTACGACTGGTAGTCAGGTAGGAGTGGTAACCTTGGAAATAAAGTATAGGTAAATGTGCTGTTGCATTCTTAAAGTATGATTTTGGCTTTGAAAAAAGGTCTCACTCCTATATAAGGTTTTTTAAAAACTCGTCTCTTATAGAGTCATGCTTTGCTACGAACAGGCTCGATCCCTAACAAAAAATAGGTGGTGTTTCGGCGTAGTGATGTTACAATCCTTATCCTCCAATTCCTAAATCCCCCAATCATTAAGCCCCCAACTCCCAAAACTCTTCTGATGTTGCAGGTTTCCAAAGCGGCGACGATTGCCTACCACCGGGCGATCACCCTGCTCGTTTACCACCCAATCGCATAAAAAGTAAAGATATTATTTGCAATTTCGATAACAGACAGAGAAAGCGATTTTGTTTTATACTATGTATAACTAGCTTTTGCCCGCGACTCCGTTCGCGTGGAATAGTTACTTCCTGCAGATTTTTCGTATAAAAACTCCTATTATTATTCCTCGAATTCCAAACTATGTCTGTAGCAAATTTCACAGAAGAAAGACAGGCAGACAGGCATAGTTAGTTTCGCATTTGTATTATTAATTTGGATATTAGTGACAATACTTACCAACAGTAAAGGTATTATAGACGGTGTTAGTGTTAGGTCCGGAGTACACGTAGAAGATGACGGGGTACTTGGTGTTTGTGTCGTTGACGTCCAAACCAGGAGGAAGGAGTAGTCTGACAGGGGCTGGGAACCCATTCTCGAGGGGTACAGTCGTGATGATACTCCCCCATCTTGCTTTGCCCACCAAGTTTAGACGTACGTTTTCGTTTGCCTCCCATAGTACAGGGGCCTTGTTTTCGGCCTGAAAACAATGCGTACATATCTATAAATATCTATAAAAAAACTTATATTTAAACTCCTTCATAATTCTACTGATATTATTACAGAGACCAGTATTTTTTAGTATTTATTTCTAACACACGATTAATAATGAATGAATCAATGAATTATTTTTTTGCAAGTAAAACAGCACTTTTACACGTCAAAGTAATATAGCTATAACTAGAACTACTATTCCTATTGGTCGTAGGGTAGTGTAGCCTAGCACTCGGGAACATTTTACCTATCTATCAGTGAAATAATTTGGAAATCCGACCAGCGGTTGCAAAGATTACCCCCTACATACAAACTTACTAATTTTACTGCAGTATAATATTACTTAGTACTGAAAAACTAGATGAAGCCGGCATTTCATATCTGTCTACTCTGAGAACAAATGCTAAAACAAATACCAGACAATGTAAAAATAAATACAATGTGTGAGACCCGTGCAAGTTCATTCTGTAGTGGTCTTTTGAGAAAAGAATAGCACCAGCTTATGTGAACCCGGTTTAAAGATAGGCACGCAAGTGTCAGCTAAACAGTTCAACTAACGGATGTTGCTGAGTTATCCGACGAACAATACCGATCAAAAGATTTGACGTTTCGCGCAAATACCTACTCAAATTGTCATATCGTAGATAACTAGCCGTCGAAAAGCGCGGCAACATGTCAACATGACCAGACGCATTTCCAAGCCCGACTATCTTCTAAGTAGTCTTTTATTTTATAAAATGCTTTACGTAAAATTTGTAGATTAAAATAAAAACAATTTAGTTCTAATTAATTCTTAACGGTAAATTAATTAGAACTAAATTGTTTTTATTTTAATCTACAAATTTTATTGTAAAAGCTTACTTATATAAGAACTTGTAATGAATACCACATTGAAATGTAAATGACCCGAACATTAAAAAAAAAAATGGCGTCACGCTATGTTTTTCTCCTATGCGCGGATATGTTTACAAACATACAAGTTTATATTTACAGCACAGCCAGTACCAAAAACAAAAAATTGTAAAAACGCACTAAGAACGTAGCAGCCAGTTGCTCAGCCAATGCACAGAAATATGTCGATGTTATATAATATTTTAGTAACACAATGGTTATTAAACGTGTTCAGTGAACCGTAACCACGAATCGTCATTTACTGTTGTTACGCATAACTTGCGCGTGCGCAAGACGTCACACGATGTACATTTACACGCCAATCTTATTAAAAAAATGCAGCATTAGCGCTATTGTAACACATCGCGAATGAAATAAAGGGAACTAACAGTGTTGTCATAAAGAAATCCATTCCCGAGAAGAGAGAAAGAAGAATTGGACATACGAGTATGGTCAAAAATGAGCTGAGTAAGCCAAATTAATCTTAAAGTCTATATTTTATATTAATAAAAACACTCTATTCAAAATACATATGTTAATTTGGCCTATTTTTAATATGGGTTACCTACTAACTAAAATCTATGACATATTTTTTTTTAATCCCGCAAAAACGATCTAAACTTTTTGGATTACTGTAAATAAATTAAACGAATTTGAAACCGTCAGCAACTAAATCAGTAATCAGTAACTAAAATATCAATGAGCAAATACCATTTAAGCTTTAAACTTCATTACGTCAAAAGTGTTGTTTTGAGGGTTGGATCCTTTTTGCATATCTACATCCAATTGTCGACATTGGCTTTTTAACGATGGAAGGGAGAAAGAGCCGTTAAAAAGTCGACAAAGACCGTTTTGACTGGCAGACATCTCCCTCATATACTAGGCCACTACGGGGGAGGACATCGCGGAATATGTATTCAAGGTCCTACTAGTCAGTCCTTCCCACTCCATCATCAGACCGGGTTAATCGCACCATATAATTTGTTGTTCATCTAATCCAATCATGATGATACAAGAATTAAAAATGTGCGTAATTCTAATTCTTAGATTTTATTAGATTAGTTAGATAACTTTTTTTTAGGTCGTCAAACGAGCAGACGGATTACTTGATCAATCACCGCCGCCCATGGACACCCTCAACAACAAAGGAGTTGAATGCGTTGTCGACCTTTTGGAGTAATTAAAGCGCGCTTTGTTAAAAAAAGAAACTTACCATAAGATCGATAATGAAGGTGGCGGAGGGTTCTTCAGGTGAAGAGCAGGTGATAGTCATGAAGGATCCTCCCGGGCTGAGGGTGGCCGTGGCCCAGGTGCAGGGCCCGCCGTCAGGTAGCACCAAGTTTCTGCTGAAGCATCTATCTCTCGCTCCTGCTACACATACTTCAGACTGCCATGGCATGTTAGGCATCGTGCGCGTGTAGTAACTACAAATAAATTTCAATTATTAACTTCAGCCATATCAGTCCCTGCGGATAGGGCAGCCAGTGGTTGGGTGAAAAGAGCTGAACATCGAGCTCAGTGGCGTGCAATTAGAGAGGCCTATGTCCAACAGTGGACGAAATCAGGCTGATGATGGATGGATATCAGTCCTGATCTTTAGGTCAGAAAAAATATTCTGGTGATATTTTCAGATTACCAGAAGTTATTATGCTGTTCTATTTTTAGTAAATAGCTAGTCTGTTCCGATTGCCGCCGCTTTTGTTTATAGTTATACCTACTGTGTTTTTTTTTTTTTTTTTTGTTTCGTCAGTTATAGTTCTAATATAATTATGGAATATTAAGCTAGACCTTAAAGTTATTTATTAGCTTTATAAGTGACGATAATTGGTGCTAAGTGCATTGCATTCTAAGAGACATGCAAATAAGCATTCAAAGAAACTCAAGAAAATACTCACAAAGCTAAACGGCCAGGGGTTTCATCCATTCCAATGAAGTTATTCACGGTGGACGCTCCAGGGGAGATGGAGGACGAGATTATTTCATTACCGACCCTCATGCTGAGGTACAGGTGTTGCCAAATGTTGCCGTCGGCCTGAGACAGCGACCAGCGCGTCGACACGTAGAATTCTCCGTCCTTGCTGAACCGAGGCAAGGCCAAGGGGATCCAACCTTTCGGCTCCTCTCGATGCTCCTCCTAAAGAATTTTACATAGTATTAGGAGTAAATTAACTAAAATTCGCAGGTTACTCACGTGTAACGACGTCGCGCGACGTCGCCGCGTCCGCGCACGCTGCTCATGAGGAAGAACCCCTCTGTGGTTCGAAACTAGTATATAGAGCTTTTCTCAACATGTACACGTGAGTAACCCGCGAATTTTAGTTAATTTAGCATGTCTCACGATAGTTATTATAAAAACGTATGAGGAGTAAGTATAAATTGTTCCAAAGTAGGTCTATAAGAGGACCTGGTTCCTCTTATAGGTTCGTATAGGCTTTAGTGAATGCCACCTCCTAGTATTTCTCCTCTCAATGCATGACTTTTGAATACCCTGGAATAGACCAGTTCGTTGTGGAAGCAAGGTATTGAGTTCGCTTCTAGCACGAGGGGTTATGTCCTAACAACGTAACTTTCCCTAGATATAAGTAATTAGAACGTTTAAGTACCTATGTAGACTCCACTGAGGAAAAAAGTGTAGAACTTAGAAAACTTCGACTTACAATCTCAACTCAAATTGTGGATTGAGATCGCCAATTCAGGTGTCATTGCTCGTATTTATTAATTTAGGATATTTGCACAGAAATTGCAAAAATGTATTTCAATATTATCACTACTAGTTAACGTACAGTCAAATAGAACCAAGTTTGTTCCATTTACAATGTAGGCACTATAAATATAAACAATACTTAGAAAGCAATCAGCTTGTTTAAATTTAGTAGAAAGTTATAAATTCGTCTAATTGCACTTGACTGCACAGTTGGCCGCAGGCCGGTAGCTGGGCAACCGGCTGCCGCACAACGTATCGCGGGTTCGATTCCCGCACGGAAAAACTCTTTGTGTGATCCACAAATTGTTGTTCCAGGTCTTAGTGTGCTGTTTTTAATGGAATCTGCCTACTCAGTAAAACTTACCACACATTGACTAGTGACTATGTTGCAGATCTGTAGTACGGAATAGTTCTGTCGCCTGTTCATCCAGTGCATAGCAATTTCGTTGTCATTGACCCAAGTGACTCCGCCCAGTATGTGGTCGGCGGTGACGGCCGTCGGAGCATTCATCCTGATGAAACTTGGGTTTGTAGGGTTAGCTACCAGCTGAGCTAAGTTCACCACTCGAAGTATCACATTGGGGTTATCGCGGTCCACCTGTTATTAGAATATTTTTACAATTATTCTTTCGTTAAAAAAATATATGATCATTTGGGCATTTTACTGTATTGCAAACAGAACATGATATTGAGCATTGTCGTTTTTTTAATACGATTAAGTACTGTTCAAAGTTAGAATGTGTTATATCTTTTTTAATGGTATATGTCGGCAACGAGCAGATGGACTACTTCATGATAAGCAATCAATCAAATCTTCAAGATTCAAATTTGTAATTTTTTTTATTTATTTATACAACATGGAAAACTTAAAGCAAGATATAACTATTCAAAAGCACATTCGAAAAGGCCGCCAACGCACTCGTAACTCTTTCGTTGTTGCGGGTATCCATGGGCGGCGCTGATTGCTTACCATCAGGTAATCCGTACGCTCGTTTGCCGTTCTACTACATAAAAAAAAACAAAGAACTTAACCATACCTTGGGATACCTGAGGCTGAAGAGTTTTGGGTAGACAAACTCTTTGCCATCATTGTCACTATCAGTATAGTAATAATAAGAGTAGTCTTCAACTCCGGTATCGTCATAAGTCGCAAAAGCCAAATACGAACCGGCTGTCGAAAACCAAGTCGCCTGACCGGTGTACATAACGTCCTCTGAAATTATAGATATAGACATTAATTCATTAATTAAGTAAGTTAGTATGGCGACTGATGATATCTGCAGGGTGTCTGGCAGTGGTTGGATGAGAAGAGCTGAACATGGAGCTCAGTGGCATACAATTGGCGAGGCCTATGTCCAACAGTGGACGAAATCTGGCTGCTGATGGTGATGAAGATAGTTATAATAGACATAATGTATAAGAAACCTGTAAAGAGATAATATAACTATGGAAGGGTCATACTTCGACACAAATGGACCAGCTCAACAGGAGTGACACCACGGTTTTCTATTAGAAAACGCCATATGCGCGATATGCGCAGTTTGTGTTTCGTTGTGTAGGTAAGTGAGGTTATCGGAGGTCCCATATTCCCTTAACCCTGATTCAACAATTCTAAATCGACCAATATTCAAATGTCTAACCCCCAAGAGGCCGGGAGTGCACTTGCAACTCTAGGGTCATGGGCGGCGTAAATTGCTTGCCTAGTGGTGACGGGTGGGCTTATTTGTTGTCCCATCAAAAAATCTGTTATAACAAATATCCAACCAAAAACATTCTGTAAAACCTATGTAAGCGTATTGTTTTGAACGCGCCTCAAAGAACGAAGAGACTACCATAAATGGAGCCAAAGGGCTGATAATCAGCCGTACTTGCGGATCAAACGCTTAAGGTAATGTACCGCAGCCCCGGCTTGAAGTAGGAAAAGAAATGGGTGGTTCTTAGTTTGTAAGAATCTGACATTCCCTTTCGCCCCGCCCAGGTAGTCGAGAGAAGTAAATTGATCATGATAAAGAAAAAAGAAAGCGGATAATACTTACCTTCGTACACCCAGTCAGTGTGTCCATTGTAGTAGACGCCCTCTATTCCATCGTTGGTAATGGCAATGGGTTGAGCATTGCTGTTGGGTAGATAGTACAAGTTGTTGCCGTACACGTAAGCCAGGGCGTGCTCGTTGCCACCAAAGATACAAAGCTGCAGGCGGTTATCATTACCCACATTGATTGTTTGCCTATAACAAAAAGTGCCAGTCAGATTAGGAGTAGATTTTAATGTTCTATTACTAACAGCTAACTGTTCCAAAACTGCAGGGTTCCAACAAAGTCCACTTATCCAAAATCAAGCTACAATTTAAAACATTTCTGAAAATATAGTTACATAAATTTTAAACCATGCCAATTATTTTGTTACCCACCACGATAACCGTCTCTAAAATAGTTAAGTTTACCTATAATTTCTCATACTTTTTCAGAAATACTTTTTTAGAAAAACTAAAATATTAACAATCTGATTTGCCTGAATGGGAACTCCCACCCTTTTGTCGAGAAATTTGTAGTGATAGTGAATTAGCACTAGGTACCAATTCATCAATAAAAAAAACTTCGGTAAAGGCTATGGGAAGGACTGGCCGTCAGTCCTTGTCCCGGTCCTTCACCGGGACTCCTTACATTCGCAGTGCAGCCTAGGGCACTATGTAAGTAAGCTCCATATAAGGGGTGGGTACTAATCTACTTTGAGACTATTATGTAAGAGTTTCATCTTAAGAACATTATATTTACGCGGGTATTAGAGCCAGACATCCAAACGTAAGCAGACAACCTGCCTTCATGCCTTATATCAAGGGTGTGACAGACAAGATAGGATCCGTCCTTAAAAAGTTTTCGATCCCGACGATCTACACACCTGAGGTTAAACTTCATGATAAGGTAGGCACGGCGAAGGATGTACTGCCGCTACAAAGCCCAGGTGTTTATAAGATCAACTGCAGCTGCGGTAGTTCCTACATTGGGCAAACGAAGCGGACCATTGCTGAGAGGCTCAAAGAACATATCGCCGCAGTCAAAAACCGACAGAGCAACAAATCAGCGATAGCAGAACACCTGCTCCAGGCTGGTTCTAATCACTGGGTAGAATTCCACCGACCGCAAATTCTCTCCACTGATCGCCACTACCATACAAGACTTGTGCGTGAAGCGGTTGAAATAAAGAAATGCCCAAATAATTTCAATCGGGAGGACGGCTTTAAATTGTCGTCGACGTGGAATCCAGTGCTTCGCAAAACACAACCTCGCTTTCCTTCAAAGTCGGTTAACACATCTGTGGATATAATCAGCGTAGTGTGTAGACGGCCTAATATGGTAGAAAATGAAAATAAGGGGGTAGATGAAGATTCATCACCCGAATGCAGGGAGCTGTGACATCGCGTCTTCAGTCTGCTTGTGACCACGACCTGTGCAACCGGGTCGAAACGTCAAGCCTACCAAGGTATTCAAATTATAATTTTCCGCGTTAATACCCGCGTAAATATAATGTTCTTATTATGTAAGAGCATAAATAATAAAATGTTCCCCCGTGTAACACGCCATTCTGCCTCAATGATATACAGGCAAACCTTTGTGGTCACGGGCGCAAGAAGTGAGGAATCTAGGCGCCCTCTTAGTGACTTCAGGGAAGACGGTGGCACAGTGGTCATGTGCCGCCATGCGCAGTGAGGCTTAAAGCGGTCACGTAGGTACCTCTCGATAGAGATGTGCCGTAACAGGCGTTGCACCAAAGGGGCTCTAGAGTTGGTCTATCAAGAGGTCCCGGTATCCATTATAGGCGTTGATGGTGGTCACCGGGGAGGTTTTAGTGAGGTAAGAATCCCACACTCCCTAGTCTTTTCCCCAACAACTAGGCGCCTTTTGAAGGTGTCCCCTCCCCCAAAAAAAACAACAAAAACAGGTAATAAAATGTACCTACCCACTCTCGATATTGAAAAGTGCGTATCTAGCAGTCGTAGAGTACCGATACACCTGAAATAAAATGGAACTACATAAATAAAAGCACAAAAGAGAAAAAAAACGTAATAATAACAATATTTCAAAAGACAACCATACTTAATTAAAATATTTGGGAAGATTATGATTTCAATTATCTACAGATATGTTTATCTATAGTTTTACATTCAGACAGTAAAGATAAGTACCTACTTAATCTAATTTATTGTTATGAAATGTAAGTATGGAATATAAATATTATAATTAACTAGCTGTGCCTGGCGATTTTACTCGCGTTAAAAGACATAGTCTTTCGTTTTCACCGAAGATAGTGTAGGTTGCCAATTGTGAAAGAATTTTTCAAATCGATCAAGCAGTTTCGTAGCTTATTCAATGCAACCAAACAAACAATCAAATCTTTTCTCTTTATAATTACTGTACATTCATTTGTCGTGTCGTGATGGTAGAATATAGATAGCTGCGTTATACAGTTTGTCCATGTAACTGCTAACCAACTACCTACTCCTCTTGTTCCGCAGTATCGCAAAAATTATGGTTACCCCATTTTTTGTAAAGGTGGCTCACAGTAGGTACCTAGGTAGGTAGGGACAGCATGAAGCAAAAAACCCGGGTTGTATGATTTTATGCGCTACAGCCACAAAGCTACATTCACCGTAATAAACTTGCGCAGTCTGTTGATGTGATGATAAAATAAGTAATTATGATACCAAACTTACCGACTGAACATCTCGCGAAGCTAAAATGAACTTCTCGTCGGGTGAAAGAATGGGATTATTAGTTTCCAGTTGTTCCTGAAATATTAAACATTCCTATGTAAATTTGGAAACTTATGACTACTTATTGTAACATCTGCAAACTGTCAATAAGTACTTATAGGTACCTAATGGTCATTTAATGAACATAAGAGAATTCTGCTTCTTGCCGCTTCATCGGGATGTTAGTATGGGACAAACTCATTTTTAATTGTGATTAATTACGATTTTGATTAGACGTGATTAACTAAGATGTAGGTAAAGGTACATATTTAACAAAATTTAATCTGATGAATTTTCTCAAGATTGGCACAAGTCTTTCTAAGTACTTAATTACTAAAATGGGCCACTACTTCGTAAGCCGAATCTGGTTCAAAAACTTACCAAAAGGTTTCCTGAAACTAGTACTGAGCTTGTATCTGTGGCACAGTCATATTGAAGGATTCCAGGTTGTCCAGCAACGGTGTATGTGAACCTAGTGTCTGAAAACCAAAGATAATAAAGATATCAATGTTCTGTAGTTGTTTAGATCACAAGCGACGATGATGTGGGTACCTACGTATCTGTCCAAAACAACATATTAAAAGACTAAGACAGAACCTGCATACTTAGTAGTCTTAACTCGGTTGCCATTAAAGAAAAAAAGTATTCTTAAGAGCCGTAAACGTTAGTAGCTAACTACTTGTCAGTAGGTAGATATCTATAGGCATTGACTTTCGATGGCAAATAATGAATGAAAAATAAACAAATAAAATAATAAGTACCAAAACAAACACAAAATACCCACTAATTTGTTTAAGTCTTATGATATAATTTGTACGGATGGTAATGACTCCTTCCTCTCTGCTCGTAACAGACTAGGTTATATAAAATAGTACCAACCTGAAATCCAACGGCCGGTAAAACCCCTTTGGCTGAACTGCCCCGACAAAAAATCTGCAATACTGAAGTTCTGTTGAGCTGTGGCACACGCCACTACTGCAGCTAGCACGAACCACAATGACCGCGCCTGTTGGGAATCAAAGAATGCAAAATCGTTTAAGTTTCTGTCTTAGACTAATTATCTTTCCTTAAAAACTTTACTAGGTATTTGAGCCTAATTCTGGTAAACTCACACATACCTATGTACCTAACATACCTACCATAACATGTAGGATAATAAAACCTATGTAATTATCTATCTAAAACAAAATTGAAAAGTCACGTTTGCGGTAGGTAGATATAGGAGTCGCCTAATATTTTGTTGGTCCTAAACAAATACAGCACATCTATGAAAATCTAAGTATAACGGTTCAATATGGTTCAACGGTTCGTATACGGTGCCTCATTACGCTTTCCCCGCAACCCCGGCTGAATGTCAGCCCTACAGGGCCTGTAAATAATTGAGTATTGAGTTTTGAGGGCCCAGTCTATGGAGCCCGCGCGTGGACCGTACGGTCGGTTCTGGTTCTGGTCACCATCCGCAGACCTGCGCTTAAAATACGGTGGTCGGAGATCATCCCTCGATCCCCGACGCCCGGAATGTTGCCTACAGCGGCGGCTGGGTGTGAGGAAGAGGATAGCTTCCTTCTTCTTTGGGAGCTTAATTGTAGCAGAAAGAGACGTCTTCCCAGTTCCTCTCGCTCCGCACCATAGCCTCAACTAAGGTCGGGCGCGTGAGGTCGCCGCCGCCGATCACTACCCTGGGGACAAGCTGGTGCTCAGCCCAAGCAGGGCTAACGCCATTGTATGCTGCATCGTGCCCTCTAGGTGATCCTCACAATGACGACACTCGGGTGTTTACTCCCGTCGGATCAGTAATAGAAATGTAGGTACCGAAGCTCCCGTGCCCGGTAAGCACCTGCGTCAGGCGGATTATGAGGACGCCATGGCCATCAAGCCACTCTTAAAGGAGTTTTGAGGCAACAATTTTATGCCCGTTTTGCACTTTCAGTACGAAACCCTAAAAATATGGTACTATATATTAACACCTGCAACATCAGAGGAGTAATTACTTAGTAGGTAAAGGTCCAGTCTCATTTTAAATTTTTATGTATCTACCCAATTTTATTTAATAGATTTTTTACTCATCTGGAACTTTTATCACTAGCAAGTGTTATTTTATTTGTACTCATGTACAACCAAAAAGTCTAAAATCGACATCTATAAGAGCTTAAACCAGATTTTTTGTTTATTTTTTCGTTTTCGGCTACAATACTTTTTGATGATAAAGAACGACCTTAATTTCTAGTTATTTCTTCTAAATTACAGGATTTTTAGAAAAATAGGTATTTAGTAAAACTCACCATTACGGGTTCTGCTCCTTTTCAATTTAGTGGTTGGCGTATGTAATCGCCAACACAACTGTCTCAAGATATTCATACGAAATTATAATTCTTATCCTCTGATAAAGTTATCTGTTGATAGACGTAGATTACAGGCCGTATTTGTAAGATATTGTTTTAATAGGTCGATTAGCTTGCTTACAATAAATTATTTAGTACATAATTGGTTTTTATCGTAAAATATGTATGTGAACAATATATTGATAAGCTAATCAATAACCATGCTGCCGATACTTCTAACGACATGTTCTCAGTTTAATAACCAAATTGTCTGTAACCACATTATTGTGATTGTAAAAACAATCTTACACATTGATAAATTACAAGACTCAAACATAAACTAAACTAAAGCTTTAATAGCTTTTTGAAATTCAAAATGCCTGACTAAGGAATCGAACCAAGACTATGCGGTCGCCAGACACTCGCTGTTGCACCAGTCCAAAGAGGCAATTCTTATGATGTAGGTACTTTGCTCCATATTTTTTGCAAACAAATCTCTATTAGGGGCCATCCATAAAGTACGTCACACTAATTTCATGAGTTTTTGAGCCCTCCCCCGTCCTTGTCACAGGTGGTCACATTTCTGAGACCCCCCCTCCCTAGTGTGACGTCACATGTTTTGCAATTTAACATCGAAACATTATTAAATTAAAACAGCAGTTCCGAAATTAGTTTTAATTCCATTTAAATTAAGTACTTTATTATAAAATCAACATAGTATCAAATATTTGAAACAATAACAAAAAAATAAACTAGGTAATGAATATAAAGAAAAAGAAACTCAATCATCTTCAGTCCATGGACTTTGAATCCAGTCCTTTAAATTATTTATAACTGGCATGGCAGTCACTTCACAGTTCACTTCGTTTTTCACTTCAGGAACATTTGTGGTGTCAACACCTTTTTTATCCAACCATAAGGCATCATCATTAATATCCAAGCAAAGAATTTCTCTGGCAGGTCTAGCTGCTATTCTTTGAGGGCGTATCTTTGCAATGGCAACTTCATCTTGCTTAATCTTATGAAGTTGTTTGTGTTGGTTAGTGGCTTTATATGATGCAAAATATAGACCACAGAAGCCGCATGATGGCTTACACAAGTATCCCTCAATACTAGGGCAGTAACTATCATACGGTACTTGCTTTATATGTGATGATCAGTTTTAAAGATAATTGAAGTAATAGTGGAGCGAATTTACCTTCGATATCATCCTTTTCTGTTGTTATATACCCGCTTGACGTCTGTTTAATTAAAACAGGTGGTGGCAAAAAACCCTCTCGTAGTAGTCGCCGAAGACTAGATCGTTGCACACCACAGCACGAAACCACTTCACACTTTACTATTTGCAGTGTTACTGCAAATAGTAAAGTGAAGTGGTTTGAAAAGATACGAGTTGGATATATTTTTTAGTTTAATTAATATTTCAAATTACGCGATTAGTACCTCTAGATTTTGAAACGTGATGTCACGAAACTTAGGACCCCTCCCACCCCTTGTCACACCATGTCACACTTTGTCGACCCCCTCCCTCCCCCTTTATGTGTGACGTACTTTATGGATGGCCCCTTACAAATACCTCAAATACCTAAACAGGGAAACATCATGTCATAATAAAAAACAGGAAAGATTAATTCAGAAACTTTTATTCAACATCAAATGAACCGAATATAGGTACTTCAGACAAAACATATGAACATTACGACGTTAACCTGACTACCTCGCATTTGCGCTACTTGTCTATCTATTAGATGAGGCTGGCTACACTTCCAAATCAGTTGTTCCATTATTATTCACATTTTTAATTTCATTTCCTTCAATTTATGTGTATCAGCTGATCCTCTGTTATAGTGAATTCATAATTCCTGTTCTCGTTCTCTCACTCAAAATCATGATACTTTCATCAAAATAATCAAATTGGTCTCCATATCTCCACCTCCCAGACTACAGCAAATTTTGTACTGCAATTGGTCTGTTTAGTTGATGCCGTTGATTGTAGCGACGTTGTCAACATACAGATAATTTCGCAAGTACCCACCAATCGGGCCAGCGGTACAATTATTGGCCGAAAGGCGCACATCGACGCAATGTCTAGTGGAATGATGTCAATCGTGGTGCATCTTTTTCCCACAGCGGACGTCCCCTGCTCGTTTTGATCAAGTGACTGCATTACGCCGACGACGAATTAAATCATAGGCTTTCCTCCAAGCGTGCCTTTCTATAACATTTTGTATAAAATCAATTCATAATGTCCATGTCCCAAAAATCCTGCCAAGATTATCTTGTATATGTCGCCCTTAAACCTAAATTGTAATATGACTATCATATAACAAAATTATCTTCAAATAAACATAAAATTAAATTACTGTCACTGAAGACAGTATACTGCCTGAAAAGGAATGTCGACTATCCGACAAAAATATTAGAATGAGTATGAGTTATGAAATATGTAAATGTATGTGTTATGTGTAGGTGTATGTATGAGTGGCAGTACATGTTTGTATGTGTGGGTCATGTAATGACATGGGTGTGTGAGATGCAACGATGAAGTGGGTGTATGAGACGGACCATGCTAGTGACGGCGGTGCGTTCGGCGCAGCTCCTGCAACCTTCGTTCGTGCTCGGCCATGTGCTGGCGCCGCTGTTCTTCCTTTATTGCTATCTGCATAACACATAATAACCAATTAGTCATATCATCATACAACTATTCAGTTAGCCAACAAAGGACCACCATCCAAATTACGATAAAATTTCCTCTCGGGAGCTGTAAAACCTTAATAAACTTTTTAAATCAGAAGCTTTATTTAACTAGCCATTTTTAATGGTCCTCATTCCTTAAGCATGCATAAAACTTAAAGTGGTATTTCCAAAACAGGTCAAAACGAAAATAACAATTCAACTTAATTCAATATAATAATTTTGTTAAAAATGGTTTTTACTTTAATTTACCGTTTCAGCTGAAAGCGGCAACCAGTATATGCATGGAGTTGTCTTAGTTTTTCTAAACAAATCATCCAACAGCTTAGCGGGAGCTTCTTCTTCTTTCTTCTTGAATTTCCTTGCTGTAATGTAAAAAAAACACATCAGTCACAAAGGTAATAAAAAATAAAGATCTTGCTTATTATATTGATTTGATTGATTAATTTACACCTATCACCTTATCAATCTATTTAAAAATGAATCACAAAATGTGTTTGTAAGCACATAACTCAACAATACTTGGACAAATTTCGACCATTATATTTTTATTGTATTTATTATTGACGGGAGGAGGTTCTTAATCAAAGAAAATACTAGACAAGTAGAGAGTCAAATAGGGAAAAGTGATCCTTTTGTTGTTAGCGAGATAGCAATTTATTTTGCCATAATTAAGTATAACCTAATTGTCTCCTAGACTTAATGAAATTACTATAATTAAAAATTTGAGTTGAGCATATTTTTTTTATGTAATAGGTCGGCAAACGAGCAGACGGATTACCTGATGGTAAGCAATCAGCGCCGCCCATGGACACCCGCAACGGAGGAGTTACAAGTGCGTTGCCGACCTTTTAGGGATTAGGGATTTGGAGATTTAGGGATTGAGGGATACATATGCTACATTTACAGGATTTAATATTATTCTTCCAAAATGGTATAATACAATTATTATCGCCTTTTAACATTATGTGCAACATTGCATAATTTAATAACAACCCTATTAAAAACGTGTTTGGTTCTCAAGCTCTTGCTTTGCCTGAATTTATATAGCACCAACAAACAAACAACAAGTGTTAAAAAGCTGAAGTAGAATTATTTTAACCTTACAATCTTAGTGATTCAATACAAAATAGGTGCACAGACGAGTTTGCTTGGGATTTAATGAATTAACATTCATATTTACCAGGCTCAGGACTTTTCTCTTGGGAGCGGTGTCTTCTTTTATCAGCAGGGCGTTCCTCACGCTTTGACTTACTATCTTTATTATCCTTGTCTTTTTCATTCTTTCCAAGATCCCATTCTCGCGTAGCTGCTTTCCTTTCCCATGGTTTCTCCTGATAATAAAACATTGTTGGAAATAAGTAACAATTGAAATTCACACACAAACCTTTCAATTTGATGGCCATAACCTTTACCCCATAATATCATTAATAAGTGAATTTACATATGTATGTATGTATATGTATGTTACACCAGAATTATTTTCTCATTTAAAAAAAACTGGTGTCAAATGTATAACAATGAGTGTACCTTGAGCATGGTGATTAATGCTCTTCCCTTATCCATGCAAGGTCTTTTGCTCAGCAGTGAAATAACAGTCTGATTATAATGATGATTTAAGCATAAAAAAATACATATGGGAGAATATATAATCTATAGCCTCTTACCAAATCCCCTCGATCTCTCTTCATGTCTTGCTCCCGAAGCCAATCCTCAACAGTTCCAGGAATTGCTGATACTGGTGTAGCATCAGTCTCTTCGTTAGATTTGGCTTTCTCGAAAGCTTCTTGTGTAGAAAAGTCCACCTGAAGAGTCTTTGGGTTTGAGACTGGCCATGTAACACCATGCAGAGCATGCCTTGTCTCCACAGCTTGGCTGAAAAATAATAATTTTTTTATGTTTTTTGTGACTGTTAAATCAAAATCATAAGTATTAAAGTAAAACTGTGAGGATATTGATTTCTATCCAAATTGAATAATTACAACTGGTAAATACAAGCAAGAAATATAAAATACACTTACTCTTCAGTTTCATATTCCACAAAGCATTTTGATTTAATTCTATCTATCCAAAACCCATTCTCTACAATCCTTCCTGTTCTTTGTAACAAATTCTTCAACTGTGGAAGTGTAAATGGTCTCACCAAATTTGTGATATACAATATACATGACTGTTTATTTCTGGGTGGGCTCGGTGGTCTTGCTATTATACTATCATTATCCTTAATTATTGATATTTTTCTATTGGAAGCTAAATCTCTTGGCTTTGGAGTGTGAGGGTCTTGGTCTTCCTCAGATTCCTTGTTCAATTCCACATTGTCAGTATTATCAATAATAATTTTTGGAAGCACTGGTCTTTCAATTCTTTCCTGAGCTTCAATTCTTCTGTGTTTCTTCTCTTCTATAACTTCATCAAACTCCACTGGTTTCACATCAGGTATAATATCTTTCAATACATCAGTTGAAATTGTAATTGATTTCTGGGTTGTTAGTTTAGAACTCCTTGACCCCCATCTCCTCTTCCTAGGAACTACAGCCGGAGCAGCCTGACCATTAGCAACAGGTTCCTCTTTTGTAGACTTAACAGAATCTGAGCGGTGTAACTCAATGGGCTGTTGTGATACTTGTTCAGGTTCAACTTTAGCTGGCTCTGTTTCCATAGGTTGGCTTGCATTATCAGTAGACAATTTCCTCTTTTGATTTTCTTTAATTACCTTCTCAGAACTCTCTACAACATCAGTTTCATTAATGGCTTCTTTGCAATCAGATTCAACTTTCTCAGTTTCCTTATGAATATTTTCTTCATTTATTATACTTACCTCTTGTTCTTCAGACGCTGGTTTCTCCTCATCTTGGAACACAATAGGTTTCTCTTCATCTTTGGCCTCAGTAGATTCCTCTTCATGTTGGGGTAAAGTAGGCTTCTCTTCTTGGGGTTCAACAGGTTTCGTATCCTCTTGAGTCGTATTGGGATTTTCTTCTGGAGGCTTATTTGAGCCCTGTTCAGATTCTGCTTTGGACTGATTGGCCTCATTATCAGAAGATTCACACTTACTGTCATCAGGATGTAATTCTAGAACCTCAGATTTGTCAACTGATTCACTTCTTGTCCTTCTAGGGCTTTCCTTCTCTGTTGTATCAGTAGTTGCTTGAGGATTGTTATCATTACTATTAGATGGTTGTTCATCTTGGATGTCTGAATTAGGTTCAGGATTTACTTCAACTAATGGAGATGCAACTCTTGTTTCACTTTTAGGTGAAACAACAGTTGTATCAGCATCAGAAGCTTTTTCTACATCATCTTGCCCAGGTGAGGCAGTTTCTTTACTTGTTGGTATATCTTCACTGCTTTGTGATACGTTTTTCGATTCATCCACCTTCATTTCTTCATTAGTTGTCGACACTGGTGTTTCAATATCTTCAACTGTTTCACTTTGAGTTACCTCATCACTAGATTTATCTTGATCTTGGAACTGGCTTGAATCCTGATCAGGCTCATCTCCCTGACTATCATTGTTTTTATCCGTATCATCTTTTGAACCTCGAAGAGCACGTTTAGAACGATGTTTGGGCTTCTTTCTTTCTTCAACGCCCTCCACACTAGGTGTATCACTAGAGCTTGTCGCGCGTGAATGCTTTCTTTTACTGCGAGGAGATCTATCGACTCTCTCGGGTGTAGACGGTGGACGCGTCAAACAAATCTTCAATTTTTTGATATCACCAGAGGCCTCTGTAGTTTTAACACGCCATACCTGATCTTGTGCTTCTTCAGGGCTATCCTCTTTTGCAGGTGTTGATGGAGGCTTTTTTTCAGCATCAACGACGCTCTCAACTTCTCGCACAGGACTTCCATCATCGGCAGATTCGTTTTCTGACGACGAGGACTGCTTTTTACGTCTAGTTCTTGGGCGTTTGACTTTTTCAATTTTCTTTTCCGGCGATGCCTTCCCTTTTTTACTTGCGGTGCGCTCACTTTTGCGACGCATTGTAGCCTAAAATGTGCACAAAAACACAAACTTTAAGTAAAATGATTCGTGATTTGATAGTGACACAGCACAGTATAACGTATATACCGGTAATTAAATAATTGATATCAGAATTGTCGTCAAAATACTTCTCAGCGTGCTCAATCTGGTAGAAACAGAAGCGAATAATGGCCGCCCGCCATTTATCCTGTGTTGCTATAAGTAAAAAGATACTGATATTCTCGTAAGTATTATTGGATCGACTTTATTCTGCATGGTACTATGTGATGATTCAAAATTAAATGTTTGAAATACATGTATTGAAATCTATATCTAGAAATTTTAATTGCCTACTATCTACTAATATTTATTCAGTAATGAATTATATTCATACTACTAAAGTTACTAAAAAAATATTGTTTTTTATTAAAACTGTTTTAATTATCTAAATATAATAATATTACTACTATAACGAATTCAATTTCTACATAATTAAATTGTACCTTCTGATGATTTATAATTATTACTGATCTCTTTGATCACTTTGAACTTAAAATATTAATTGGTCTTTTAAGTTGTGATCATGTGATGTATACATTTGCAGTGCTATTTCATTTATTAAATTCATGTAAAATTTTAGTTTCTCTATTCATTAAAACGGTAATGACATAACATTTCATTTATAATATAAAATAAATCATTTTATTCTATCTATACGGTTGATCAAGGTTGACCTGCTTTTTATTGATATGTAATGCATTTTAGGTTTTATTGTTCTGTGGTTCTGTCTGTGCATTCTTTGCTGTCAAAAGTATGAAATCTTCTTGGGGTTGCTCCTAGTCCTAGTGAAATGTGTGATATTATGATGAACCGAAGATGTTAGGGTACGACAATGATATATTACACCGTCCTTAGAAATCTATTTTTATTGAATGGTAATGTTGGTAATCGTTAATAGAATATTCATGTAGTACCTTTTGTTTCAGATACTATGGACCTTTTATGTCATTCCTATGCATCGGCACACTATTTACGCATGTCTAGAGGTGAGGCAGTGCTTGTAGAATGATAACAATTAATCTTTAATACAGTTATATGTGATACAAAATGGGTAACCAAAACAGTTGCTGTTGTTACCGCAGTCCGTCACCGATCAGAAAGGACATCGTCAAGCTAGAAGACTATCTGCCAGAAGGTGAAGTAAGTTCCAATAATATTCAGCACATCAGCGAGAGAGAGCCTGATGATGGCGACATCGACCCTTCACAAGATCCCATCGCTGGAACCATATTTATGGAGCGCTCCAAGGCATCCATTGAAAATGGAATGACAAGAAAACGCAGTCAACATCAAATCGCTGATAATAAGCTCAAAAAAAGCAGTTCCTGTTCAACTATTTATTTAGATGATAGCACAGTATCCCAGCCTAATCTGAAGAACACAGTCAAGTGTGTAGCCCTTGCTATTTACTATCATATAAAGAACAGAACATCAGAGCGCAGGTTAGATATATTTGATGAGAAGCTCCACCCTCTTAGTAAAGAAGGAGTAAGTGATGATTATGACAAATATAACCCTGAGCACAAACAAATATACAAGTTTGTAAGAACACTGTTCAATGCTGCACAATTGACAGCTGAATGTGCTATTATCACTTTGGTGTACTTGGAGCGTCTTCTAATATGTGCTGAGCTAGACATTGCTCCATCTAATTGGAAGAGAATAGTGTTGGGAGCTATCTTATTAGCTAGTAAAGTGTGGGATGACCAAGCTGTGTGGAATGTAGACTACTGCCAGATCTTAAAAGATATTACTGTAGAAGACATGAATGAGCTAGAGAGGCAATTTTTGGAAATGTTGCAATTTAATATCAATGTACCATCTAGTGTATATGCTAAATACTATTTTGATCTTCGCACACTTGCTGAGGCCAATGATTTGGCATTCCCCAGTGAACCTTTAAGTAAAGAGAGAGCACAAAAATTAGAGGCAATGTCTAGGGTCATGGAAGATAAAATAGCTGCTGAAGTGGTGAAAAATGGCATTAAGAAATGGTCAAGCTTAGACAATGTCAATTCAGGTGCTGGCGTGAGGCGAAGCGTAGCCATATTGTCATAATTGATTAGTCATGAGCCAAAATTGAGATCCAAAATGAATCACAAATTAACAGATAATATTTGTGTATTTTATAAGAATGTATTGTATTTAGAAGTTTTGCACCCGATGAATATTAATTTTACTATTTGGCATTAAGTTACAATATTTAAGTATTAATACTTGACATAAACTGCCAACTATTGCCTTGATAATAAAGGCTTAATGATGTATCTTCAATTGTTATAATTATAGGTTTTATTTGACATTTTGATTATAATGAAATGACAAATATAAAATTTCCATGTATTTTGATGATACATCATTAGGCATGAAGGTAGTGAAATCAATAGTTTGGGGTATTTTATACCAGTTTTATAATGAACTCTTGTAAGTCTTAAAGAATACACTGAATAATATGAAAATGTAATTAATTTTGGTATGTGCACAAATGCTTTATATAGGCAGTGCAATAAGTTTTGTATGCTCATAAATTTAATAATTATGTAGTCACTAAAATGAAAGACTTGTTGGTGGTCCAAACATTTTTTTTATGAATTATTATAATATTCTAATTTGCTACACAAAATATGTTACAGTCTGTATTACTGATTGGCTTCCAATACTATTTTATCCTTATACATAGTTAGGTTTAACTCATAAAGCACTAATGTTAGGTTGCTTTCAAAACTATGCTACTTAGTGTATACTACTTAGATTTACTAGTATGTGCAACTGCATTTTGACTGAACTAAGGATCTTGTGATTGTGGTATGAATGTATTAGTCAACCGCTGTTCTTTTTGTATAATTTTACATTGTCATATTACTGCATTTAAAATTCTGAGCTAGTTATAAATTATGCCAAATTGTTATTTTGTATATCAAATTATATTAGTATCTTTATAGACAGACATATAATAACCTACAACAATTATTGAAGTGTATAGTAAATTTTCTTATAGCAATGGAAATAATGTGGATAATTGTTTTTATTTAATTGATATGAAAATATTGAATTCAATGTTTCATGATTATTTAGATTGTGAATTGTGATTGAATTATACAATCCATTTATTATCTTTAATGTAATTAAGCAGAAATAAACATTTTATATGAGACTTTTAAAGGATTTTTAATTCAGGATCAGTAGGCAGCACAATATCAACAAGTTTTATGAATCTAATGGTTTAAGATCTTTCAAGTAATCACTGTAGTTTTCAAATATGTCTACAACTTCACTGTTCTTGTTCATCTTGTCATCATACTCTGGTCCAACAGACCATAGCGTCTCCAAATCATATACTTTTCTAGCCTTGTCTGTGAATACATGTAAAGCAATGTTACCTGGAAATAAAAAATACATTATTTTCACATCAAAAGTAACAAGATGACGTCTATTTAAAAGGGGTGTGTAAGTCTAATTTGAAGGTTATTAGTCTATGCAATCTGTTTGTTCTGCAGATAACTAAGGTGAAGATTCACCGTCTGAGTTGTACTTGCACTTTATGAAATTGTTTATGTGCAGTGAGAAACTTAAATAATCTATAAGTTCTTAATAGCCAGTTATGGTGTTTTTTATATTATGTATGTATAGTGTTTAAATAAAGAACTCACCTAAATCTAATGCCATCCACTCATCAGACTCTTTGCCCTCTATCCTTGGTATATAATCTGATTTGTAACATTTTTTCTTATAGACTTTCCTAACAAATTCTGATATACCTAAAATATGTCTCTTATTTCTTCCACTGACTATACATATGTAATCCACATAGCGAATGTCTTTTGGAACGGCAGCTACAAATATATCCTTACAGTTTTCTCTTTGTAATAATTCTACAAGGTCTTCTATTTCAAAAACACCATTTAAACCTCCTGGAATGAATTTATTACACATTAGATGCAATTGGATAAGTCAAACATGTAGTTTTAAGACAAGATACACTTACTCTCTAGGTTGATTCCATCAAACTCATCACTGAGTAAGGGATATCTCTCTTCAGTTGGCACTTCTTCAGCAGTGTTCTCAATAACCATAGTATTTGCATCTGTAATTACTTGATACTTTGTGGCTAAAGCTGGTGATGTGCTGTTTGGTTTAGATGTATACCTAGGAATCCTTAAACAAACTCCACAGTGTATTTGCCTATTGATATCAACATTATTAACACACTGCACCAATGAACTCCTTGGACTCAATGTTCTTGAGAAAATTTTCCTTAACATTTTGTCTTTCAATGCCAATTACAATCTATTTATGGAATATAAACGACCTTATATTGTTAAAGTACGTAATCTCCGATAAATTCCACTCCACTTTAGAAAATAAATATAACCTAAACGGAAAAACTATAATCAATCTGTCAATGTTGCAAATGACATTATACAGAATGTGTTTAGTTATTTCAGACATTATTACTGCTTCTTGCTGTTCCTAAAATGTAAAAAAAAATATCTAAATTGTTTCTACTTCCTATCATCCGCATACACAGACTTTATTACTTTATCAAAGACCTGGGTTTTATTTCGTTCCTTCCCTTGCTTTTCTTAATGTGAAATAGGTATTTCGTGATTCTTAGTCCCCAGTGTACTTCACAGTTTAAGACTAGTAGGTTAAATACCGAAATCAATTACTTACCTATACCATTGCAGATTGCAGTTACAGCTAGCGATAATACCAACCTACATTACATTGGCAATTAAAATAACTAATTGTTACTCGTGGCTTTGCCTTCTTTCTTACTATCATACCTTAGATAGAAATCGTACCTTACATAATTAAAAGTTCCGATTTGAAGAAAAAATGAAATTGGCTTTTATCACAGGGAATTCTAACTGAGTAAGGAACCTTATGGTACTTGATGTAGGTAGTAGCTGTCAGAATATCAATGATTTATTTATTATATTCTATCCTATCCTTAGCACATATTTTATATAATTACCTATGTAGTTTGAAATAGCATATTTTTGTATATATTATGGTATTATATTATATACAAAAAAGTACCTAGGAACTTTAACAAAGAGATTGTACGTAAGTAAGTATGGATTACCTACTGTTTGCTAAAAAACGTAAATATGCCTGGCTGCACCAGTTTAGAAACTATGTCATAGAACTTATCAACCTGTTTGACTCAACCTTGTTATCTTATCATTATCAATGGGCGTGGGGAATACGAATACAACACATTTTCTTTATGTACAATCAGTTTTCATTTTTATTTGTCGTAATTAATACTTACAGGGCTGTGAAAAAATGCAGTGTTCGGACAGTGCCAAAATGACCTCAAGCAGTAAAGTTTGTTAATTATGATAAAAATAACGAGTGAATGATAAACAAAATGGTGACATGTGAATTGGACAAAGAAATTTCGGGAGAATTGCTCGGATTAAAATTGCCGGCATGGCAGGCGCTTCTGTTGCATCGTGTGCTGCCCTCCTGCGGTGGCCTGATCATCTACATAGTCCTAATTTGTTATGATTTTACAATCATAGTCGAACACTTCTTAAATGGCAGTGAAGGGTAAGTCATCAAGCGTAGATGTAATCTCTACATTTGGTTTAAATTTATCAATTATTTTTAAAATAAATACCGAGCTGCCTTTGCTTCAGACGACTGCCTCTCCTGACGGAGGGCTCGCTACTTTACACTTTCCCCTGTAGATACTTTTATAAAATTTACTTTCATATTAGGAACTTTCTCCTGACTATAACAAAAACAACAAAAAAATATTGAAAAAAAATATCCAGGCGATGTTAAGTTATGCGTTTAACGACATCATTTTGTTTTGTTTTTTATATTTATAAGATAAGGTGTATTCTTTTCGAATGTTGGGCAGGGGTCAGTCAAATAATCTGCTCACAAGTATATTCAGTCTGCACCAACCCTTATCTACTTTGGGACATTTCCGGACCTAGGAATTGTCAAAAGAAGTTGAAGAATTTCCACTGGATGTTACATACTTCTTCAGGGAATAGTAGGCGTGATACTTATTATTTACTAGCTTCCACCCGCAGCTTCATACGCGTATAAAAGTACCTAATGTATCCCGGAATTGTAAAAACGGTAGCGTATAAGCGACAACTCGACTAAAATACCCAAATCAAGTATAATTTATAGGCGGTAGCACTCAGGAACATTGTACCTACCAATGCATGTCTGTGAAAAAAATTTGGAAATCCGACCAGCGGCTCCAAAAATTACCCCTACATACAAACCTCCCACTTTATAATATTTGTATACCTACAGAAAAAGTCAAAAAGATAAGAATCCGTAACCTACCTTTATTAGTAAATTCCTTTGCATTGCCCTTCTCTACACATCGTTAGCATTTGAAAATGCAAATGGCGCGAAGAATTGTAAACATGTTTTCTCTAATTTGAATAATTCGTTTTCTTTTGTCTACAGAATGGGAGTATTTTGCACAATTCTCATAGGATTACCATCACTGATTTCCTTGGTATTCACGTTGGCATCGCCTCCGCCCGGTTTCCGGACTGACCATACGGCGTTTTCGGTGACTGTAGAAAAAGGTGACATAAAATGGCTTATCATGCAGTTTGTTAACGCAATCTTCTTTCCTATCGCTGCAATTGGAAGGTTTGTATTGACCTACTGTTGTTTACAATAAACCGTTTATACCTAACTAAAGTTTGTTACAATGTTTGCTTCAATTTAGTTGCAAAACTGCACTTAGCTAGTTGTTCTTTTGAAAGCAAGTCTGAGACCAAACTCGGTTTTTGAAACATCTTGGTGCCAGGCTTAAGGGACGGTTGGCGCAGTGGCTGGGCAACTAGCGTCTGTGAAATGTGTCGTGGGTTCGATTCCCGCACGGAAAAACCGTTTGTATAAGCTCATGTACATGAATTTGTATGTTTGTGAACGCATCCACGACACAGGAGAAAATGTTTTTATAATAACTATCGTGAGACATACTAAATTAACTATAGGTAAATCGCGGGTTACTCACGTGTATATATTGAGAAAAGCTCTACTAGTTTCGAACCACAGAGGGTTCTTCCTCCTGAGCAGACTGCGCGACGGTCGCCGCGATTTATATAGATAACAGGAGTAAATCCTTATGCGGGCTATTTATTTTAATAAATAAATCGTTGTACTTTTTTAAACTTTCATGCTTGCAATGCTAAATTTTTGAAACCTCTAGACAAAACCAAACTTAAATTAGAGTTCCAAGTAGGTAAGTAACAAGGAGTCAATATCTATAATATTGGTATCAACCTACTAAACCATACCTACCAAATCGATAATCAACGAATGAAATAAACCGACCTATCACTCAAGGGGAATTTAAAGTCCTTTCAAATTAAATGTACCTAATCAATGCTTTTATACCTACTATTGTGTCAAGTATAATAGATAAATTACGCGGTACATTTATGAGTTAGTAACAGGGTAACAACGGTAATATTTAACTACCAATATCGTTAACGAAAAGTGTTAAACGATTAAGCTGTTAGCTGTTACAGATTCTTTGACACATTGTCTAAAGTCGGTGTTAATGGGTGGTCGTAAAATGTAAAAATGTTTTTACTTATACAAATGTTAACGATAGAGTATTAAATTGTAATTTGACGGTTGTCGTTTCGAGCTTGGGTTCAAAGAACGAACTACACGCAACATGATTCCTTAATCTTAATAAGTGTGGGAGAGCCAAGCTTCGGCACGAATGGGTCGGCTCGACCGGAGTGATACCACGGCCTCACACAATACCGGCGTGAAACAACCCACAGCGTTGTGTTTCGCCGTGTGAGTGAGGTTACCGGAGGCCCAATCCCTCCCCTTCCCCCTATCCTTTCCCAATCCTTATATCTGCAACCCCTATTCCCAAAAAGCCGGCAACGCACTTGTAACTCCTTTGGTGTTGCAGGTGTCCATGGGCGGCGCCGATTGCTTACCATCAGGTAATGCGTCTGCTCGTTTGCCGACTTATCCCATAAAAAAAAAATCGATCGACTGACACAAGCACTAGATAAGTTCTGTCAACCTTAGAATGAATAGCAAACATTATTACCTATCTAGCCTTACTACTTCTTTCCTCTTAAGACGTTGCTGTAATACTATTTTATTCTTACAGATATTGCTACCTAATATTCTGGTGGGTAGAAGCTGTGAGTGCATCTCGCAGTGATGACAAGGAACGAACAAAAGAAGCCATTCGAATGGCTCGGGCTCCCTCTCCGGTCGAGCTGTACCTATTCTTGCAATCCTTCCTCCACGCTGCTCCACATGCCATCATCAATATCCTCGATTTGATGGTTCGATGGTCTGACGTAACTTATGATAGAGGTAACTATTATTTATATTTTTTTTACAAACAACTGTTGTCTTTTTACCTAACTAATAATTTTATATGTTTTATTTAGTTTCAGTTCAAGCTATAAGTATCGTTGCATCCACTCTACGCATGGCTAGCACAGCTACAATGTATAGAAGATTTGAAAGAGAAAAGATATGTGGACGCAAATACCCATGGGGAACTCAAATGTCTGATCCACTGTTAGATGAAGACGATAACGACAATGATCAACTTGATGATACAGGAGCTAATAAAACGAAATCAGCAGACGAAGAAACTATTTATGAATCGATAACGAAAAAGAACTCGATCATTTCAGAGAATTCCAACAGCAATCAATTCCGAAACACGAATAGTGATTTAATCAAGTTCTCTCCGAGAAATACTGTTGAGATGTCTTCCGCATTTTTCGATAACGAAGAGCTTACGGAATCAGATACAAGTTCAGACTATTTACCGCCTAAACGAGAAATTTCCGGATCACAAGAGTTAAATAGCGATGACGAATATGTAAGGCCAATTACAATAATCGATAGAGTGGCACCATTAAGACGAAATACTGATTACACTATTGAGAAAGTGGAAATTATCCCGCCTCCAGTAATGATGGCTCCAAGACCGATGTCACTAGCCGTGTGGGCAGAAAAAATGATGGAAAATGCGGAATCTATTCCTACGTGGCTATCAGCACCTCCGAGAAGGAAATATTGTGATGAAGTAGTACAAGATGAGCCGGATATCCCACGACGTGTGCCAAGGTCCTTCATACGTGGCCTTGAACCCCAAGACGCAACAGCAGCAATGGTGCACTTCTTGGGATGGTACTCGTTTTTTGTAGCTCGTCTGCTCTCTATAGCATGTTTCATCAATTTCTTTCCGTTTGTTGCCATCATAGTTCTGTTTTCGCACTACCAGGTGATGTTATTGTTCCTGATAGTGCCACAAGCGAGTACCGTGAGGAGAGCGTTCTACATATTCCTCGCGTTCATATACTTATTCTGCTTGATGGAGTTTAAGATACGTTTCCGGCACGTGCGAGTGTGGCATGTGTTCTGGGTTATAGTGTGTACTATAGAGACCGTTGTGTTCACCGGCCTCTGGATTTCCATAGACAATACTGTCCACGAGTGGTGGAGATATTTTATAGTAAAGGTTATTGTAGTTAGTCTTACGTTAAGCTACATCTGTTTCCTTTTTTATTTCGTAGTATTGCAACCAAGAGAGGCGATTGTTTATTTAAAAAATAATAAAAATAATGAGAAAAGTTAGTAAGCGTATAATTCATCTCGATTGCTAGAATTTATCGTTATAATTATCGATGCTCCATACTCCGTAACAATTGATGCAACAGGATATTGCGAGCCATCCATATTGGAGCCAGCCGGTCACATCCGTACCTAGTCATTTCGTTTACATAAACAATTATTTTTTGAGAAATGTTTGTTATCAATAACTGTTTGATTTTGATTGTGTTATAATTGGAATTCATTGTACCTACCTAATTATTCTACATGATGAAAAATAGACATTTAGATATATGAAAACACTATACATATAAGTACCTATCATGGATTTATCCTTAGTAAAGACTGAAACCATGACATTACTCATGCCTTTACAACAAATAATTAAGTAATTAGGTATTCTTGAGTCCGTAAGAATGTTCTTTAGATAAATTCCTCATTTATTACTTAGTTACTTCTCAGAAATATGAGTAATAGAAATAAAGGTCTGTAATGTCAAATTTTTATCTTTAACGTTTGGGAATATCCAAGTTCAAGATTTCGCGTTCATTCCGGTGAAATATTTTGTATACCTAACTGTTCGTAAATCGTCAGTAGATAAGGGCCATCACGAAAAAACATTACAGCATTTATAGATTCTTATGTAGGTACCTACTTACCCACTTCGTTGTACGTTTTTCCTTTTTTTTTGTGAGGGGAAAATCATCAAATGACTTCTCCCGCCCATAGTGTCAGACTCTTACTGATTAAAAACTCCCCTGTTCCTTCTCCTGCTCTAGGCCGAGGTCGCGGTGCCTCATTGCACTTATCCCGCAACCTGTACGTTTTTCCTTGGACTTTTTAAGTAGGTACCTACATATATGTATAAGTTTGTATAATCTACTTGTATTTAGTACCTACCTTTTTACTTAGATTGGTTCCTAAAGCTTTGCGATTTGTAACTACTGTATCTTTGTAAAGAGCTTTTAAAGTATGTAATTATATTTGAAGACGATGATTGATTAGGATGCATGCATAACTTTACCTTTTTTCTCTGTATTAGTTAGTTAGTTTGGTAGTCTGTGCGTAGCGAACTACCAATCTTAAACTTACAAACTTATCTTAAAAACTACCAAACAAAAAAAATAATTTAAAGAAGAGAGAGGGAGGAAAGATCTGGAAATGAAAAATACTTAGTTAATCTAAACTATGCAGAACATCCTCAAAACTGAATCCCTTGACACACTTCCTACCTAATAGGGTGGTCACGGAATGGAATAAACTCCCAGAAAATGTGATAAAAGCACCCACAGTTAATTCTTTTAAAAACAGACTCGACAAAATCTCCAAATCCATTAATACGCACGCATCAGCTTTCTAAGCTGCTAGTGTGTTCAAGTATATAATAACTCCCTGAAATCTAACCACACGTCCCGATCGAACACCAGATCACGTGGGGGGCGGGCAACGCACAAATAATATTACTGGGCGGCTAACGTGGCTATAGTAACCCACCGACGAAATGGAGACTAGAGCTAAGAGAAAATTACGTATAGGATCGCTTCCCGGGGGCGATCGCCGGGGCACGCCTGGAGCCGATGCTGGGCGTTCCAGCATACGAACCATCGGTGGTAGTGAGTTGAGTCTGCGGGCTCCTACCGGGTCACCCGAACAATGCTACAGCAGACCATCCTCCTCTATTTCTCTGTTCCCCTCACTTCCTTCTTCCCCTCTCTCGTGTCTTAACTATCACACTGACTCCTCTTCTATTTGCTCATCTAACTCTATCAACTCTGCAGCCGTGGATGTTGTGCAGGAGGCACCAGCCAACAACCCTGCACCCACCACTGGCCAAGTTCGCGCGCGAATGAGATGGACAATAGAGATGAATGAGTTCATCTGGCGCACATATCTAACTATTACACATTTAGACACCAAAGTCCGTGGCTACCTAGATCCTTTACATGAAAAATTCACCGAGAACTTCCCTGAAATTAAAGTTTCGAAACAACGGTTAGGCGATCAGAAACGAGCTATTTTAAGAAATAAATTATTATCAGAATCTACATTGCAAAAAATAAAAAACGAAGTTCAGATAGCGCTTCAAAATTCTAATCAAATACAGAACACGATAGGGACCACACAACCATTGTTAAACCAACAAACGCAACCCTCAAACTCAAACACTCGTATGAAATGGACTGATGATATTAATGAGGCAATTATCCGTGAATACTTTAAAATAACTCATTTGGAAACAAATAGAACGGCTTACCGTAAACCACTACACACCATCATAACAGAACTATTTCCCAATATTGCACACGTTTCCGAACAGCGCATTGCTGATCAACGTAGAGTAATCATCAATAATAAACTCATTTCAGACAATAGATTAGAAGAAATAAAAGAAGAAGTAAGAAGTAGCCTTAGTGTACAATCAGCAGAAAACATACAATCTGCAATAATTACTCCAACGTTTGATTCTAATAGCGTTCTCTCAAGTATCGTATTAAACCAAACGGACCTACAAAACACTCCTGACAATATGCATATAAATATAACAGAACTGCAAAATGAAACCACAAATACCCTGTTCACCGATGAAACATTCGAGAATAAAATTGCAAAGACTTTTGAGGAATCCTATAACAAACATTCACTTACACACCCTGCAAAGAGACCTTTTATTCCAAAACAAAAAACTTCCAAAAAGCTAGCTTATATTATTTTATATTTAAATAACACAGTTTTACCAAAATATATGTCAGTCGAAGATGACTTTCTTAAGACTCACACACTTGTGTATTGCGCTGCTTACACCGCAGCCCTTTGTAATGGCGCCAAAATCAAAGAAAACATTCAAAAAACAACTACATTACAACAAAATAACTCCACAATAGACAAGAGACCAAGCTGGCTGAGGCGGTTAGACAGGAGAATTCATATAATACGTAAAGAGATAGGTAGACTGACACAATACATCAATGGTAATAGAAGTTTAGGACTAATAACACACATCGAAAGAATAAAACACAAATACCGTAAACATTCCAGTTATGAAGAGCCCAACACAACAAACGAACAATTTATGGATAGCTTAAAACAAAGACTTACCGCTATTACAAGTCGACGACGTAGGTACTCAAATTGCACAAAGCGTAAAGATCAGAACACTCAATTCATTAATAGCGAAAGACAATTTTATAGAAACCTAACCATAGATACATCAAACACACATATTACACGACATACAGCACATGACACACACCCTAACTCTGAACAATTTCATTCGTACTGGTCTAACATTTGGTCAAAACCTTCACAACATAACCAAGCTGCTCCATGGACACAAATTGATAAACAAAAATTAGAAAATGTGCCAGAAATGACATTTGATGCAATACCGTTAGATATTTTTGCTAGTGTCATTCAAAAGATACATAACTGGAAGGCTCCAGGCACTGACCACATTCACAATTATTATTACAAGAAATTAACTTGTTTACACCCATCAATATACAGACATATTAATAATTTCATCACAAACCCCCAAACTATTCCCGAATTCGTCACACAAGGACTTACTTATATGATCCCCAAGGACTCTGATTACATGAACCCAGCTAAATACAGACCGATTACTTGCCTGCAAACTATTTATAAATTAACCACCGGTTGTATATCCGAAATGATGTACAAACACATATCACTAAACCATATTTTAGCCGAGGAGCAAAAAGGATGTCGTAAATATAGTCAGGGGTGTAAGGAACAGTTAATTATAGATTCCATAGCCATCAAACACAATATTAAATTAAAGAACGATATTTGCACAATGTACATAGATTACCAGAAAGCTTTTGACTCTGTCCCTCATAGTTGGCTGCTTTACATTTTAGAGCACTACAAAATCAATCCTGTCATCATAAATTTCTTAACAACAGCTATGAAACACTGGAACACCACATTAAAAGTAGGAAAACTAATAGAAACACAACCCATACCTATTAAGCGCGGAATTTTCCAAGGAGACGCCTTAAGCCCTCTCTGGTTTTGTCTTGCTCTAAACCCCCTATCTAATCTCCTTAACTCCTCTGAAAACGGACTCACAGTACAAGATAGTTGCACACCAGTTTTGCAACTGTCACATTTATTATTTATGGATGACATCAAACTATATAGTAACAATATATCAGGCCTCCACTCCCTTGCAGATCTCACGCAACAATTTTCAGACGATATTAACATGGCATTCGGTATAGACAAGTGCAAAACTTTTACACTCCGAAAAGGACGACATGTTGAAAGTAACCCATATACATTAGATTCTGGTCAGGAAATAGATCCAATGACACCAAACTGCACTTACAAATATTTAGGCTTTGAGCAATCACATAAAATCGATCAAAAGCTCACCAAAAATAAAGTAACTACTAAATATAAGCAAAGACTGAACATGCTCATACGATCGCAGCTAACATCCCGTAACCTGGTTAAATCCATAAACTCATTTGCCATCCCTGTACTAACTTACTCTTTCGGTATAATAAACTGGACAAAGACTGATCTAATTAAGCTACAACGACTAATCAACACCTGTTTGACTACTAATAGGAAGCACCACCCGCGATCGTGTGTGCAAAGATTAACGCTACCAAGGGACGAAGGAGGACGCGGCATTGTAGATGTAACAAACTTACATAACCAGCAAATAACCAATTTGAGAAAATTTTTCCACCAGAAAGCCGATCAGTCCATTTTTCACAAGTCTATCTCAATATTAGATAAACAGTACACTCCACTCAATCTACACTCCACTGCCCCACAGATTAACGAGCAAATAACTAGTAAGATAGACAAAATAGCAACTTGGGCACAAAAATCTCTCCACGGAAGACATCGCCTTGACTTGCAGCAACCTCATGTCGACATGAAAGCGTCGAACGCGTGGCTGCGGCGAGGTGAACTCTTCCCTGAGACGGAGGGTTTTATGATTGCTATTCAAGATCACGTGATAGACACAGCCAACTACCAAAAATTTATAAT